AAAGAGAAATAATGTAGAAGACAATCCCCATGCAACAATGCTGGAAGGCACTTAAACTATCAACAGACAGTTCAAGGTCATTTAAAATAACCTTAAGGAGTCTGAGCTTAATTCTGTGGGTTTTGGACTGCTCAATACTCTGAAGACAGACACCATATCCAACCCCACAAATTTCCACTAACTTCAGCTTTGAATACCTTTATTCTCCAGTTGTCACCAACGTCATCTTTAATGCGATTTAGCCAAGATGCATCAAACCAAGCAACATCTCTAAAACAAAAATAAATGATTAAACATCAACAAGCACACTTATATAAATATCCGATTCCCAGCATTAAATCATTGGCTGTTTGACTATGGTGTCTAATGAGGCATAAATTCCCGCAGATTGCAAATTATACTTATGTCACAGGCCATTTCCATCCCTCTAGCTGCATTAAGACACCACATTTCAGGGCAAGAAGAACTCCTGTACATGCTTGAGTTAGCTACAGCTGGGAACACAAGGATGCGAAGGCCTTTGTCATGCTGAATTTTTATACCTGACAAAGTGATCATAATGATCTGAAGAAACATCCTCTTTTGTTATGTTTGATACCCACTCTCATACATTTGCATTTTCTAGCATTTGCTACAGTTTGTCAAAGGTGTTTATCAAGAAAAAAACCTGTTTTAAACTACTGGCATTTCATATTTTTGTATGCCACTGGTTCCCTTGGGCAGAATTATATTCACTTTGCTAGCATAAACAAGGATGAGTTGTTGAGGGAGGTGTTAACACACACTGAGCTGCCACATGATACAATCACAGCATATCCAACAGTAACTTTTCACACCATACTGTTCATTCACTGGCACCTAATTATTATACCCAATTATTATCTCCACTTGCATGTCAACCAATGTGGTTGTAAAGAAGTTTGCCCAATACCTGTGGCAGCCTCGTACCACACACATTGCTCAGTGAATCTTCACTAAGCAATCCTAAATCAATTTTCGCTATTCCCAGGAAAAGGGTGAGTTCTGTCTTTACTCAGCACATTTAAAACTTCTACAAGCAGACAGGGGGGTTATGGGTTTGGGGTTTTGTTGGTTTGGGGTGGTTTTTTATTTATTATTTTGGTTTGGGTTTTTTGGGGGATGGTGATGTTTAAGTAATTTTTAAGTAATTAAAACCACAGTTTCAAAAGGACATGGTAATCCAGACTTCTTTATTATCTGAGCCAACAACAATAAAACTGCAGTGATGACTTGTAGCCTGACACTTGTGTTACAATCCTCTGAAGTAAATGTAGATTTCACACCTAGTGTCACTCAACCCAGTACCATTTGTTATCACACCAATAAAATAGGAATTATTTTGATTAGCAAACTACTATTTTAATAATAAAATTGCCATTGATGTTTCACAACTCATTTTTTCCACGTGAATAGTTATCATTTAAATCCTGGAACTTAAATCAACTGAGCAATCCCAAAAGGAAGAGAGCACAAAGACACGTCTTTTGAACTTTTAGTTCCTCATTCCAAGGTGGAACATACTGCCTAAAGTATGGCTATCTATGGAAAGAGAAAAAAGTGGAAAAGGTCCTATCATTCCTGCCTAATTACACTTGAGTATGAATTTAATATTGCACCATTAGAATGTCCTCATGACCTTCTCCATTCTATCACATTCAACTATTCTATCATCCCCAAAACAACAATACAAAGGCATATTTTATCTTCTCCTATAAACTGTCCCCCCTAAGTTTCTGCCTACTTTAGAAGCACCTGGACACGGCAAACACAGAACTCTCAAGAAATTAAATCCCTCTTCTTCAGACTTCAGTATCAACTTACATTTGGTGAAGTACCTGCGCCATGGCAACCCCGTTAGTCAAGTCCTGAACATCTCTGCAAGGTGCAGCAGTGTTGAATGTCTGCAACTAAAACAGGGAAAAACATTGTGCTTCTTACTCAGTAGACAGAAGGACAGGAAATAAGTTACCATTTTCCTATTCAGCTTTAAGGCACAAGCATTTAACAAGATGTTTCTCCACTTGAGGCAGCCAAAATGCTTTTTGAACTACATGGTTTTTAAGACAAACTAATCATCTCAGTACTTCTAACTCGTAGCTTAAAAAGTTAAGTGATTATGACTAGTAGCTTAAAAAGTTAGTACAACCACACATTGCTTTTTCACACTAGCCCTTTTATTGTAAATCAAATTATGGAACACTAACTTGGGGAAACTAAAGTCATATTTATCCATCTTTCAAATCATATTGCACTACTTAGTTCTAGAGACATAACTATCTAAACAAAAAAAATCACAACAAGGGGTGAAAGTTGAGGGGAAAAAAGTATCCAGTCCTACACTACAAGCATTTAGTAATAGAAACCATGTCACCAATAATGATCCCTGAAATTATTTGGGTGTCAAGAATGGAAGGGAGAAAATTGTGCAAAAATACTGAAAAAAAACCAACCCAACAGTTGTCTGTTGCACACTTTAAGGATATGAAGATAGCTGAAAAAGATTGAACCACTTCAAGTTCTGTGAGCTGGTAAGATATTTCCTTGCAATTCAGGATTCCAAAATTCCCTTAAGATGTTCCTATTTAAATATGCAACTTCAAAATACTGCTATAAACCCAAGAAACTTTATTATAATCTGAAGATACACATCTTCTCCTGGTTATATTTTACTCATATATTATTCCTGGTATTTCCACCACCACCATCACCCTGTTATTTTCCAAGCATCACAGTACCTAGTGTTTATCCCATCTACATATTTCTGTCTAAAGATTAAGCAACAAAGCCCCAGTTTTCCCTCTTCTCCTCTACTACAAAACCAGATTACACATGGAAGCATTTTATAGTAAGTGCTTGATCTATTCTATATAAATTGTTGAATGCAATCTTTGTATTCTAACTGGTGCTTCCAGGCACAAGTACAACTGAAGACCCTTTGTAGTAGGACTGGTACAAACAAGACGCATGTCCCATCTTAAAGAACAAAATCTAATAGCACAAGTGTTTTGCACTCAAATGCCAGGAATACTTTCAACATGTCTACATCCTTATGGAGCACTACAATAACCACCCAGCAGACAGCTCTATGCATAAGAGCCCCGTCATCAACCTGATGCATACTAGTTTATCAGAAATCCATGAGCAGCTCTTCTGCTGCCCTGCTCATTTCTGCCTGCAATTCTCACTGCTTCATGTATAAAGCCTTACAACACTGAAGTACCCTGGTCCTCAGATCACTCCACAGACTGTAAAAAGTGACTGCAACCTCTCAAAATATTCCATCAGGCTCCAGAAATTTGTGTCTTGGAAAACTCCTGGAGCACAGGCATTACATTTCTGTTTAACAGTCCTCAATGAAGTTTCCTCCCGTGAACTTGGCTAAGGCACTTTGTGCAGCCACCAACTCACCATGCAGACATTCTGCAGGATATCCTCTCTTGTGAGAGTTTGTTACCTGCTAGCTTTGCCTCATCTCCCCCACCTTTTGTGCACATGGTGAACAGACTCTTTGACAGTTGCCTTCTCCAGGAGCTCAAGTCTCAAACTCTCTCCATGCCCACCCCATCTCCTCCCACTGTTTTTCCCAGGACCAACAGTCCTCATCTATTCAGCCAGTTCTCACATGTAAGCTCCTCCATACTTCTCATTCAGCCAATTCTACACGAAGCTCCTCCATACTTCCCATGAGCACAGTATTTTCCCTCTTAGTTTTCTGGTTTTCCACATTTAAGATTTGTAGGATGCAATTACCTCAAGTTAAAAATGTTTCTTCATTTTGGGTATTGTGGGTTTTTTTAAAGCTATCCCTAAGCTTATACCTAACATTTTGACAGTATTAGCTATTATAATTGCAATATTTTATTCCCCCCAAAACCCAATCACCTCAGAACTAACTATTCCAGGTGAGAAAGCTGTTTCCACACACACCAATCAGTTCTTTTAAGCTCAGCCTTTCTTACCATAATGAATACAACAGAAAGGAGGAAGTTTGCTGCTAATACTCCTAAAAGATGGGTATGAGGAATAGAATGGAAGCAAGAACACATCCTTATAATGTTCACTGTGAAAACTGACTTCTTAAACTTACTACATTTAGATTGTCCTAAATTACCTGTCTACCTGTGAAAGGGCTTTCCCAAGCATCCTATGAAACAGAAGCTTCTTCAGAGGTTGCTGGCGAATGACCTCATCAAGTGTGTTGGGAAATCAGAGAATGATTTGGGTTGGAACTACTTACAAACCATGGTGGAAAAGCACAGTGTCCAGCTCTAAGAAGTTGAGGCAGCTGGTGTCCCCTTTATGTTTATAAAAGCAACCACAGACTCTGAATATTTGTTTGCTTGCTTCAAAAACAGTCTAATCAATCCAGTAAAAGAAAAATATGCAAAGCAAGGGATTTTTTGTAATTTGTTTTTAAATTTAAAAAGCATTTTATAAATCCTGTATTACAGCAGGTAAGAAGTCCATAATCCCCGGTAGGTTACATAAAAGATTAAGTAAAACAACACAGACTGAAGCAGCTGTGACTGACAGCACTTATTTCTAATACTACATCAACCTTAATGCCAATGCAAGAAGAGGCACACAGCTTTCAAGTCAAGCCTGAGCATGCCAGAACTCAGAGCTTCATGGCACAACCCTGATGCTGCCATTTGGAAATACCCCCTTGGAAACTCAAGAAACTGCTAAATACAGGTACTACTGTTTCACCCAAGCCTGTCAGAGTAGGTAAACAAAGCCATAGAAAGCCCTGTGACATGCAACACTGCTTTTTGTATGCCAGTATCTCCCAGAATAGAAACAGCTAATTAAGCAAAAAGCAGGGCTGAGAATCTTAGTTTCTCTGTATATTTAGAAGTTACTTAAGCACCTAGAAATAATATGAGAGTAGACACATTAATTATGGGTTCTCCAAACCCTGTGCCAGCCCAATCATTTCCTCAAGACAGGTTTTTACTGTACTTGCAAAACCAGTGAACGTAGTAGGCATGGGCAGGAGGCTGGCAGAAGCAGTCACAGACATCACAACTGTAGCAGTACTCTTTTTTTTTTCCCCATACTTGATTAGTTTTACTAAATATAGCTGCAAGGACATGCTGCTACTCACACTGAAAACCACTTCATGAATCTAACTTAAATACAGCCTGCCACTTGCTGCTACAAGAGAAGCAAGTATTTTTCTCTGACACGGCTGTTATGCTTCCAATATGCATATAAAAATTCAAGTTTGTAGATGCAGCACTTAATGCCTTTTCTCTGGGTCTGCTGAAGGGTCTACCACCAAAGAGCGTAGATGAAACAAGAGCGTTACCCAGGAGAAATCAACCTCTCAGGAAGGTATGCCCTCAATTTCATCCAGACAATGTAGGCTTGAGGTTGTCCATTTTATACCCAGATAATACACACCAGGGGTAGAAGTTTTATAGAGTTAGTCGAAGAGATATTAAAGTAACGATAAACATTCCCATTCTTAATGCCAGAACATTAATAAAATAACTCAGGCATTGGACAGAGTTAATATCACCAATGCTGCCAAACAGGACTACGTCTACCATGGAAAAAGCTTTCTGCTTAAGATGTGACCATATATCTCTAGTTTGGAGACAAAGACAGAAGCAGCCTCAGAGAAATCCAGTACCAAAAGACATTCAACCAACTTTTTCCTCTACTACAGTAAAGAAAACACCTATGTAATGGCACGTAAACACAGAATATTCTACTGCACCACTAGGCCTACTGCTGCTCTCATCACTTCACTCCTACCAAGAGGCAGAAAATATTCAGGTTTAACTTCACATATCGTAACTGAAATTTGTCTTTCTGACTTAGAAAATAGTTTCTGCAACAGACTTCTAGGGTTCAGTCTTAATAGATACTACTTATATCAACTTTCCGTGGAAACTCATGTACATTTCCCCTATAATTTAACCTAACCCCATTATGTTTTTCCTGTAATATCCTCAAAACTTTACATTCAATGACATCTGGGTTGCAAAACCAACAGGTAACAGTTTTATCTGAATTTTCTCTTTCTTCTCTGAAAAAAGTACGTTTCCTAATTTGGAATTTGCCAAAATTAAAAAAATAAATAAACAAACCACAAGATCTTGCAGCAGAACACAGAAAATCATGAGCATCTCTTCACTATACTGAAAGAGTAAATACATCGAGAAAGCTTTAGAACTGGAGTTACAAAACCCATTTCTCTTCTGATATGCAGCACTTCATTCCCCCCTCCCCAGACCTTTTATTTCCCCTACTATTCAAACTGAAATTCAAGATGAAAGGTTGTTTGAAACAATCTTAGTGTTAACAAGTTGTAAATTAGGTCCAAGAAATAGAGTGTTAGATCTAAAAATGTGCAGCTGGCAATGCATCTACTGAGTGTTGTACAGAAAACCTGAGCACACAGAGTTGAATGTTCATTTCCACTAATGCCACTACACAGAGCTCTGACAGTTTAAGGCTCTTTTATATCTCTTCAAGATATATGATGTTATTTCAGTTACATACTATGAGGATACTGAAAACAAGAAATAGGCTTAAAATATTCTAAAGAGGAATCATAAAAATAAAAAGTTCAGCAGTGCTCATGGGATTCTGAGGAAGAGTTCAGGAATGCATTGATTTATTTTGCAATGGAATCATGACAGAGTTATTCTTACCTGACTACTGAGAGGAAAATACAAAGTTAAAGAGCCAAAAAAAGACAAACCAAAGCATGCGTAGATTAAATGATAGAAGATATCCAAAGAGGTAAGCATAAGACAAAGCCTGAAAGTCAGCAAAACAAGTCACTAAAAGGAAAATGGAGGTAGGGAAAGACACGCGGGAATGGGG